CATCTAATTGAGTTCAAGTGTGTGGTTGGACGTGTACACGCAAAACGATGCTCCGCGTGAGCTCGAGAAGCGTGAGCTCGAGATGTGAGAGCAGGGTGACTAGGGGCGCATCGCAGTACCAAGCGGGTTCAAGACTTCGACCAAGCTGAGCCTAAGAGTGGACGGACCGGCCGATGTCAAGCGCAACTCAAGCCTTGGTGAGCCTGCGCTCGGTGTTTCTGCGTCCATTCACATAGTCTGGGCTGTCGAGCGTGAGCTCGGGAGATCCGTACAGCGCTCTGTCCACAGCTTCCACACCCAGCATGAACGAGTGGTCCTGGTTTCCAACCTCGTATTTCCAACTGCCGAAGCGGCCTCTGCTGAAGATGTTGTACTTGTCCGAAAGCACTGGCAAGATCTTTGCCAAGGCAGCGTCTCGCTTCAAGCTTGGGGTGGGGTAGCCTGGGGTGAACTTGCGGTGGTAGAGCGAGACGATCTCGTCGGTTGGCTGCATCAGCTGCGTGTTGACGCATCCCTGCACAGTCTCAGCGAGGATTTTCTGGGCATCGACTGGCTTCAGGTGAGACTCTGACACTTCCATCATAAGAGACCAGTAGGGGCCTGACTTGGGAGAAGTGTCCGTGGGCTTGCCCTTGCTGACATCGGCGTACTGCAAGGTAGGCAGCTTGGCATCGGCTTGAGGGCAGTTGTTGGGGCTGTAGTTGGAGAAAATGGTGGCTCGGTAGAAGGGACAGTCGTCCTCGGGGAAGTAGAGCCAGCACTTGTCGCCGATGCGAGGAGGAAGCTCGCCGCGGATTCCGATACCGATAACATGAGTGCTCGAGTAAACCAAGTCCTCCTTGGCCTCCTTGAGCTGCTTGACGTCAGCGGGGTCGGCACCGTCAAGGTTGTCAATGAGGTAGTCTGCGCCCATTGTGGTGATCAGGTTCTTGTACTTGATCGAGCTGCCATCGTCGAGCTTGACGCTGTGTCCAGCAGCATCGACCTTCTCAACCCGCTTTTTGAAAATGAGCTTCTCCTTGGGAAGCGTCTTGGCAACCGCCTTCCAGATACCACCTGTGCCACCCTCAGCAGGGAATTTGAAGGTAGCGTTTGGTCCCCATCCTCCAGCAACCTTTTTGTTGATGGTGTTGGAGACAACAAGCTTGAGAGATGGTGCAGCAACACGCTCGCCCAACCACTTGCACTGCATGTGGGTAGTGGGAACGGCCCATACTTTGAAGTTGTAAGGCCTCATGAAGAGATTTGCAATACCCTCACCTGTCATTTCGAGCGATAGCGTGAGTACGTTTTGCAGGCATCGAGTTGTGAAAACCTGCAGCGACTCACCCATCTGACGCAGAATCCACTCGTCGAAGTCCTTGGGAGCGTCCTTGGCGCGAATGCGCACCTCGGCAGCGTCGATCATGCCTTCAATAGCCTTGACTTGATCCTCGACTGGCAGAACGCTGATGTTGTTTTGGTAAGGGTCTGTGGCAAAGCAGAGCAGGTGCAGCGTGTGTGAGCAAGTAACTTCCCCTGCCCCAGATCCTCGGGTGAGAATTAGTCCGAGCATCTCAGCAGACATTCAGATTGACGCAGGGCCCCGAGCGCCCGCGCTAAGCTTCGTCCCAAGTAGCGCCTCATCCATCCTTGCAGTGCAGGATGTCACAATTTGCACCTCCACGCCAGAAAGTTGGATTGCGTCTCCCTGCTGGCCCGAAACACGGGAACCTCCATCTGATTCGTTTGAAAGCCTCCTCGCCACTCACAAGGCACCCAAACGTTCTTTGAGCGAACATACGAGACACGCTGGTGCTCGTACCAGTCACTGTCCTTTGGCAGGGCTTCGTGGATGACATCATCAAAGTAAGTGTAGTGCGAGAAGATGACGTGACCACCGACGTCGAAGAGGAAGCCTTCCTGAGTCACGTCGGTCGATGCGAGACCTCCCGCCTCTTCGGAAGAGTCGATCAGAGCCCATGTGCCTTGGTTCTATAGGAGTGATGCACTCGGAGTGTCAGTCCTTGACCAGTGCGAGGAGACAGGCCTTGCGAGAATGGGCACGCTCAATTCTACTCACGAGCTGGTTGAGACGCTTGGCCGCACCGAGGCCGGTGGGACCTGAAGGTTGCCAGAGGCGGCGCGCGCCGTGTCAGCTTGCTGTGGGTCGTGCACCTCGAGGGCTCGAGCATTGCTCACCTGCGCCGATAACGAGAGTGTCTACAGAAGTGGTAGACATGGTGTTTGAAGGGGATGAGGAGGTCAGGGGAAGGGGAAGGGGAAGGGGGAAAAGAAAGAGTGTGGCGATGGGGTCGTAGCAAGAACTTGAATGGCGATGATTGTGTTGGACGAGTTGCGGGGTGGCGTGGTGGTGTGCAAGAAGGCTGATGAGATGTGGAGCAGCAGCAGCAGCGGCGAGGGGTGACGGAAGGTTCGGTGAGTTTGCAATCAAGCAAGGATCGATGTGAGTGAGAGTCGCGGTTTACGATTCACGATTGTCAGACAGAGTCGAATCATCAGCCAGGGGTTTGGAGCATCAAGCAGGATGAAGGAGCCTTTGGTCTGACAGACGCTCGTCATCATTGCTGATGTCCAGACACGGACTACTGCATGTATTACTTGCACGGTGCCGTTAGTGTACGGGACCTGTGTGTGCGTACATTAATGTGGTTCAGATTACACGCCCTCACGCTCCGTATCGGGAAAGAAGGGGCAATTGATGTGCGTTCGTTCGTGCTTGCGTCGTGCCTACTGGACATGCGCACGAGTCGCGGTGGCATTGACAAGAAGAGCGGAACAGAAGAGGCGTAGCACAGCACAGCACAGCACAGCACAGCACAGCACAGCAAAGCAAAGCACAGGCAAGAGTCTCTCGAACTCCGAGACGACCCTCACCGGAAGAAGTTCCACAAAGACGAGACAAATTCGCGCTGCACGTGCAATCGATCGCAACGCATGCCACCTTTCCAGCGCAGCGCAAGTGCTTGGATGGCCCTCGGTGACCCAAATTTTTGCGTTCGATCGAAGCGAGACTGGCACATCAGCCGCATTTCCCTTAATGAATGCTTCCTTGCGGTGCTGATAATTGCTAGAGCCCGGCCGCGGTCCATGGCCCGTCAATCTGGCACGCTAGCCAGCATCCAGCACATGACCGGTCGCGGCAGCCAGCGGGAGCGTTCGGCGAGCAGGCGAGCGAAGCTCACGGTGCAGTTCCGGTCGCACAATTAAACGCTGCACATTCACAATCCTGAATCCTGAATCCTGAATGGTCGCTCAGCTAAGCTTTGCTTTCCGCCTGACACAGCACCAGCCATGCATGACATGCATGCATGCAGCTCTAGCGGACAAGTCTCGAGTCTTAAAAAAGAAACTCTGCAGCTGTTAGACAGACCAAGACTTGCCACCCGCCTGTCCACAGCACAACAAGGCTGATGCAGTCACAGGCGTTGCAAAAGCGTGCCCGCCGTGTCACGTGCTCCCATCTGCTGGATCACGTGTTTCCACTCGAAAACAAAATTTCGAGAGCATCGATATCCATCCAACTTCGAATGTTTGCTCCTTCTCGCAGCCTCCTGCGCTCGCGGCTGCTCCTTTCTGATTGCCGCAGAGACATCAATCACAAAGTCCGGATATACACGGCATCGATCGACTGCTAGTATCGCTCATAGCAGTCTTCGTCGTCGCTCTCACGGCATCCGTCTGCTCTCTGCTTGCAAACACGCCCCCACAGGGCTGAACAGTCACCATGGCAAAACAGGCCAAACGAACGAAAAAGTTCATCAAGAATAATCTGACCGACACCATCAAGTCTCGGCGGGACAGATCCAAGAAGAAGGCGGTGATAGAGAGGTCCAAGCAGGCCAAAGCTATCAGGTCAGGCCGAGCTTCCAGCTCGTCCAAGCGCAGCGACAGAGCTGATCAAGATGAGGATGTGCCGCGCACAAACAAAAAGTCGGATCAGCGGGTGATGGGCGTGGAAGAGTTCTTGGGTGGTGGCTTCGAACAAGGGCTGAATGCAGACGAAGATGAGGAGGCTGCTGGCAGCATGGACTCTGATGAGCAGGGTGATGATGAGGATGTGGAAGAAGAAGATGATGATCTGGAGGATCTTGAAGATGGCGCAGGTGGGTGTATGCGTGCCCGCGACATGGCGCATGCGCTGAGCAAGCGAGGTCGCTTTGCTTACGTCTGTACTGAACAACTCTTGCGTGTATGATTCTGCCCCTCTCTCGCGACTGCAGAGGACGAAGAGCTGGATGAGGTAGCGCACGCTAAGCAGATCCAAGCTTTGGCCAAGAGCGACCCCACCTTCTACAAGTATCTGCAAGAGAACGATCAAGATCTGCTCGAGTTTGGAGGCGCAGGGATGACGGGAGCCGGTGGTGAGGACGATGATGACGAAGGGGCAGACAGCGACGATGAGCGGGTCACCGCCAAATTCAAGGGCAAAAGCAAAGCTGCAAGCGATGACGAGGGTCCGGTCGTAGTGACGCCTGCCCTTCTCAGAAGTTGGCAAGAGTCCATGATCCAGGTGAGAAGTGGTGGATTAGGATCTTTGCACGCTGCACTAGCCTCATCACATGATCATGCCAAACCTCTTCCTATGCCACCACCACGAATCACCATCCTCCATCCGCCGCCCCCCACCCCCTTCCCCTTCCCCCAACAACAGCAACACTCCTTGCGCGCCTTGAGACGCCTTCTGCTGGCTTTCAGAGCAGCTGCACACATGTCTGAGCCAGAGTCAGAAGAGCAAGCATCAGCCTACATAGTCACCTCCGCCAAAGCGTTCAACAAGATCATCCTCACCGCTTTGAAGTACATGCCCATGGTGCTGGCGCATCACGCCCCTTACAAGGAGGTTCCTCTCGCCAACGGTGCCGGTCACAAATACAAGCTGCCAACTGGCAACAAGAAATTTTCTCAGCTTCAAAAACCCATACAGAGCTTCTTCACCAATGTCCACAAGCTCTTGAAGACGCTGACCGATCACGACACTTTGTATGCTGTCGTTGCTGACAGCTCCAAAGCGATTCCTTGGCTGCTGTCTAATCCCAAGGCGACTCGCGAACATCTCAAGGTCAGTGCACGTTTGTAGACGTCTGGCCAAGCTTTACCTTCGTAATCTGATTGAAAGTCTTCTCCTGGCAGCATTTGTTCGACCTATGGACCTCGTCCGCGGACCGAGTCAGGATCGCCGCATTCTTTAGCATTCGTCAAATTGCCGCTGCAAGCAATGACAAGATGCTCGACTTTTGCCTGAGGGTGAGCTGTACGTCTCTTACCTCGCCTCGCCCGCTTGCTGAGCCACGTTGTGGACTCCTCTTCTTGCTCGTCATCTTCAAGGGAACCTACCAAAGCTTCGTTCGCTCGACTAGGAACACCACTATCCACACGCTAGGGGCCATCAATTTGATGAAGAACAGCGCGACTGAGCTGTTCGCATTGGACCAAAGAGCAGGGTATCAGCATGCATTTGGCTTCATTAGACAGCTGGCTATTCACCTGAGGGGTGCCCTGAAGACGAGAACCCAAGAGAGCTACAAAGCGGTCCTCAATTGGCAGTACCTGCACTGCTTGGACTTTTGGTCTCTCATCCTAGCTGCTGCCTGTGATATGCAGCAAGGCAAAGGCGATGAGATGCAGCCGCTGATTTATCCGCTCGTCCAAGTGACATCCGGCGTTCTGAAGTGAGTCAGTCGTGACTCATGTTGGCGGAAAGTCGTGCTGCAGAGCTAGCGCTGACACGCCCGCCCCCCTCACACGATGCGCAGGCTCATACCAACTTCGAGGTACTTCCCAATGCGTCTGCATCTGGTGAATAGTATGCTGCGTCTGTGCAGGAGGACCGGTGTCTATATACCCCTCGCGCCGCCTTTGCTGGAAGTGTTCGACGCAGCAGAGTTCCATCGCAAGGATAAGCCGTCGACGCTCCTTCCTCTCAATTTCGAGGTCACGCTCCGAGCGCCTCAAGGCTACGTGCGCACTCGCGTCTTCGCTGACGCTATAGCCGACGAGACTTGTGCTGTCCTGCTCGAGTACTTGGCCACGCAGAGCCGAAGCATTGCCTTTCCGGAGCTGGTGATTCCCATCCGAACTCAGCTTCGACGAACGCTCAAAGGGTGCAGATCGCCCAAACTCTCTTCCAACTTGAAGAACATCCTCCACAAGATGACGCTCAATTCTCAGTGGATCGAGAAGAAGAGAAGGAACATTGATTTCGCTCCGAAGGATAGGAGGCAGGTTTTGAGCTTCTTGAAGAACGAAACACAGGAGAGTCCGCTGGAATCTGCTGCTAGACTCCAAAGGAAAGTAAGAGAGCAGCAGAAGCAGCTCTTGCAAACCAGCGAGATGGCGCAAGCTGACGGGGATGAGGACGAAGATGAGGAGATCGAAGATGAGAGTGAGGACGAGGATGAGGAGGAAGAGGAGGAGGAGGAAATGGAGGTGGATTGACGGATCGATCCTTTGAAATGTAACAACATCATTCACCTTTGCTCCCTGTGATTTGACCGCTTACACTTTGTCTGTATGATCACGACTCGGTATCGATCAACGCCTAAAGAGGATAGCATTGATGAGGCGTAGTCTGTGCTGCTTGGGGGTCTCGCATTGTGCTGCTCGAGGATCTCGCACCACTACGGCAGTCTGAAGCTCTTCAGCTCTTCGCTGCTCCAGTCAATGTACCCGCCCTTAGCACCGGCGCCCTGACCATCTGCTCCCTTGGGATCGTCCCTGGTGCCCCTGATAGCCAAAGCAGCCAGAACATGACCGGGCTGCTCTGGTGGCAAGAGCGTGCCATCGCGGTGCATTCCCGAAAACTTGTCGTACGAAGCGGCGTCCATGGATTCTTTGCCCGATGAGCGAATCTGAGTTTGCATCTGCCAACAGAGACGAGAGGAAGAGGCCGACGTTCGGTTGGTTGAGCTGCCTAAAAGGCCAAGATGCATGCGTCCGTGTGACCGTGCTGCGTGAAGCGCTAGACTCACCTCGGTAGCGACCACGCCTGGTCTGACAGCCCAGATCGCCAAGGAAGGCTCTTCAGACGCCAAGGTGCGAGCGATGGCGTTCATACCGGCCTTGCCGGCATTGTAAGCTGACCATCCAGCCGTATTTCCTACCGAGGCACCGCTCGAGACAAAGACGACCTTTCCCTGACCTGTCGGTGACTTTCTGAGGTGAGGCAAGGTGTAGTGCAGTGTGACGACGAGGGAAGAGAGGTTGGTCTGAATCTGTTCTGCGAAAGACGAGGGCGTCTGCGTTGGGGATGGAGCGTGGCAGAAATACAGGCATCGATGAGCTCCCGGTGCACAAGGGCAAGCATGCGCCACGCGTGCAGATTTGGTTTGCACAGCGACTTGCACTCACCACATCCGAGATCCTGGCAAAGTCGATGACCCCAGCATTGAGGATCACCCCATCCAGTCTTTGCCACTTTTCCAAGGCTTTCTTGACGCCCTCTTGCGTGTCCTTCTCGCTATTTACGCTTCCTTGGTGCGTCAATATCTCAGCATCGTCCTTGTGCTTCTTCTCTGACAGTGAGCCCAGCTCTGGTGTGAGGGAGCGGGAGAGCGTGAGGACGTTGGAACCTTGAGAGAGCAGCTGCTGAGCAATCGCTAGACCCAGCCCGCGAGAGGCTCCGGTCACCAAGACGACAGGCTGAGAGGATGCCATATCTGTTGCCGGGGTGGAAGGGACGAAGCGTAGGCGCGAAAGGTGTAACTGTAGCCGCGATTGGAACGAGACGAATTGGTGACAGTGACGGCGAGAGTGAGAGTGGAGTTGGTGAGCACAGCGTTCAAAACTCCGCAGGCCCGCTTCATCGTTCAGGGAAGATCTGACAACCTGCCGCGCAGCAGCAGCAGCAGGAAGTGGAGGAGGACGCGCGCAATACTCGTGAGTCGTGACTCAAGGCTCACGCGTCAAGCTGGCCTCCATCTGATCTGCACAGCAGGCCACACGTCGAGCAGCACCAATCGAGCTAGTGGGCACGCAATCGACGAAAAGTGAGTGTCCAGCGCATCACCTCCATCACCTCCAAACGTCACAGCTTGAGATCACAGTGCACACACACACATACCCAATCAGCTACATTAGCGCTCACATGCCACCGTGCCGTCAGTATCGGGAGCCAAGTCGGAGCGCCGGGCCACCACCCTTCCACACCGACGTCCCATGCCCGTCACTCAGCCAGACAGTCAAGCGGCTAGCTGTCTTCGGTGTGAAGCGGTGAGCGGGCATCCCGCTGCAAGACCGCATCAAGTTCACCTACTTGACTCCCACTAGCCTGTCCGTTCGCGGGTGTGATGCAAAAGATGACGCATCGTCAGGAAGAACACGGACAGGGCGTATCCGACGCTCTTTCCCTTCTCTCGCCTCTCTCAGCTTCGCCTGCCTCCCGCTCTTTGCCTCCACGATACATTTCGTAACCCACGCCGCAGTGAGCCTGCTTTTAGTGCAGTTCATGATTGCCCAATTCGAGCACGTGCATTGTTCAACTTCGCATTCGATTTCCCGCTCCAATACTTCGGCCTACTTTCAATCGATCAAATAGAGCCTGCAGGGAACGTAGGAGACGTCAGGGGTCTGTGCAGACGCCTTTTGGAGGTGCGCAACAGAATAAAACTCACCGCTTGAAGAAGCTTCGCAAGTAAATGATCTGCCACGAGCCCAGGCCTATGAGAGCGACGATCGTGATCCACGCGAAATTTTCCACTCTGTTATTTGTCGACTCTGGCAGGGTAAAAGATTGATCAGAGGCAAGGCAGCAAGGTGAGCTGACGGCAGCATCAGAAGATCGCGCGTCATGCGTCGCGCAGCGCCATCCAAGAGCCCCATTTGATTGCGAAATGCAGTGGGGAAAGCACTCACCATTCGTATCCCGCATCTTGCCTTCTCTCTTCTTGAGGTAGTCCATCTCGTTGACGATCTCGCCCGCAACAGCCTCCAGCTTCCTCATCTCAGTTTCTAGTCCTGAGAGGGACTCTTGATTGGCAATGGCATTGTAGTCCACCGCATCAGCGCCAATGTCCACATCGAGGTCGATCATGGTGGACTTGATGGGGTGCGCAGATGCTCCTAGATATGCGCAAGAGATGCGTCAGAGGAGAAATGGTCCAGGGATGACGTCAGCACCTGTTGCACAGCTTCGAACAGACTCGCCGACGCAATGAGATGCACTCGACATTCGCCATCAGGAAGGCCGAGCAGTACGCCTGCTCTCCTTCCTTGTCCTTCCATGCGCGCACTGCTCACCTTTCCGCAAGGTGTTTTTGAAGCATACACCCAGATCAGCGTGCGTGTGGGTATTAATGGCCATCCTAGTCTCCTTTTTACCGATTCCCTTCTTGGACAGGTAGACGTTGTTGTGTTTGCTGCCATCCACCACTTCCACATCCACTCTCTGATCCGCTTCGCTTCCAACATCGTTGGGCTTGGTGTTGATGGTAACAATGACCAAGGTGTCGGACAGGGCATAGTTCCATATGCACTTGACCGGTGGCGAGTGCTCTGCCGTCAAGTCGAATTTGATGGCTGAGACGAGTTGCACGCAGACGATCAGCAGCAGCATACATCGAGTGAGCATTCTGCTTGCACTGCTGCTGCCAAGTCGTGATCGGCTGCTTGTGTGCATCTTCTTACTCTGCGCGACGTGCTGTGCGCGCGACGTCAAGGTGGACTTTGTATGCTCAGAGACGCTGCGAGGAGCTTGTGACTGTCACCAATTGTGATGAACGCGAGAAGAGTTGCGGACTTGTTGTCGACAGCAAAGGTAGCGGGCGTGCGTGACGTGCGTGACGTGCGTGACGTGGCGCTGCGTTGCGTCGCGTTGGAAGAGTCGTGAAGGCGACGCAGGATCAATCCTATCGACGTGCCGATCGTGCTCGTGCTGGTTCGGGTGGAGGGAGCGAGGACAGGAGCGAATGAGTTGTTTCATTCGTCATTGTCCGAAGCATCGTCTTGCGAAGGTCGAGCGACACTCGATCGTGACTAACAACTCACGACAAGTGATGTGCAGGCAGGCAGACAGGCAAGCAGGCAAGCAGGCATCCATGATGCAAGCACACCTTCCTTCGCCTTTCCCAGCAAGCAGCAGCAGCAGCAGAGCTTTGATTCGCGTCCCACGCACTGAGCATGCAGCACAGACAGATGCAGGCGCTCGAGCAGTCACGCTCGAGCCAGCAGCGCGCGGACTCGAACACACGCGCGTGCTGGCTGCGCGGCTGGTCAGCTAGCTGATTCACGTGATTCGAAACTGTGATTCATTCAAATTCAAAATTCCAATGATTCGTTGGTTCGTCATTCGTGATTCCTGCTTTCCCCCGCGCCTGGGCCAAACCTTTATATATAATTATATTCAAGATTGCTGACGGCACCTTCCAACAGGACACGTGAAGAAGCAAGCCAAGGCTGCTGTGGCCTGCTCATACTTGGCCCGATTGATCGAATCAAATCATGCGTCCACCTTGCTTTTTGCACAGCCGTCATATTCTCCTTGCCTACTAACCGGCACTCGACCTTCCATCTTGCAAAGGAGCGCACGCAGAGACTTTCGAGAGCGCAGCAGAAAAAGTTGAGTCAAGACATGAGGCATGCCTTGCGAGAGCAATGATAAGCATGCGCGTGAAGATTACAGTGAAATCGCTAAGATCAAGTGCGAGTAGACATTGAAAGGGAGGAAAACGGCCAAGATATCGTGACTAGATGTGAAGCAAAGAACAATCCTGATTGTAAAAGGTGGCTAATAGATAGGTGACGCGCAAAGGTACGAGGATCGATAGACAAAGAAACTAGTGAGTTGGTGAATGTGGGGCTGACATGGATGCGAAAGTGCCGGGCTGATGATCGTGATGATGGAATCGCGCAGAGTTGCCTCAATCTTGTTGTGCCTGGCGAGATGCACCGGGAACCCAAGACTCGCTCGTTTCAAGCACCTTGACCACCCCGCCAAGCAAGGTGGCAGCCGTGGGACCCAGTAGCCCGCTTCTTTGCAATTGTCCATCAGCCATCCCTGGCTCCTGATCCGCTTCGTCGTTGTGAGATTCCAGCCTTGCTCGACGAGCTCTCCTCTGCTTGCGGCGCTCTCGCCTTCGCGCCTGACGCGCCTCTCGCCTCTGGCTTTGACTCGACCCCCTTCTCGCATCGGCATCCGATCCACCCGACTCGTCGCTTGAAGAAACGACGCCGAACTGATCAGCGTTCCGTCGGCGCGACCTTCCGTCAAGCTTCTCCTCCACATCGCTCTCGTCATCCTCGCTGTCTTCATCGCTACCAAACTCGTTGGACTCGGGTCTGCCCGCATCTCTGCGGTTCCTGCCGGTGCGTTGTCCTTGGCTGCCTACTCCGCTGGCATCCTCGCCGGGCTCGCCAGTCTTCATCGCGGTGTCGATGGCCATCGGTATGGAGAGGGTGACACGAGCGAGCTGAAGTGTGAGACGCAGTCGACCGAACAAATCAAAATAGCTGAGCTGCCGGAGCGAATGTTGGATCTCGTACAAGCGGATCAGCTCGAAGCGAATGACGCCGAGATATCGCTTGCCAGCTGATGCGAGGTCACATCTCCGCCGTGTCAGCTAAGGCTTCGATTACGACGCTCTGTGACTCCTGGGCACACTCACCCAGCATCACGTGTCGCAAGCGTCGGAAAGCGCCCTCGATCGAGTCTACTGCTTCCTCGCCTAGGTTGAGACCAGGATTACCTTCATTCATCGCGTCTGAGTGTGGCGGTGGGGCATAACCTGTGAGTACAAGGTCCGCGAAGAGGTAACTAGCCGTACCACTCACTAACGAGGACTCTGATCATCTCAAAGTCTCCCTCCAAGAACTCGCAGAAGACGGAGTACAGGACGCTGTTCAGCGTTTCATCTCCCGCACCATTCGCAGCCGCATGGCTGCTTGCATCCATAGCCTGCGCATAGTCTGCCCGACCAGACACATCGTACATCCGTCGAGCACTCGGAGAAGAGAGGGTCTGGTAGGCGAGGGCGACGCGTTGAAATGCAGCATGGCATGGGGGATAGGATGGCAATTTACTGTCAAGGGGCAAGAAATTTGCCGCCATTGTCAGCAACTCTCTCGCTCTGCAATGCGCACCGATACCTGGGCATCAATTTTGCTCCGATCGACATGCTACCGCAACTCACTCGGGATGACACACCCTGCTTCTGGCCAGAAAGCCTCTCCTGACCTCGTCTTGCTTTGCCGTCTTCCTGATTCCCAGCACTTTGTACAGGTCCTCCTCCTCCGCAATGCCATCGATCACGGAAATCTTGGCCAGCTCAGCAGGCGTCCATGCAGGCTTGCCACTCTCCTGTTCCGTCACTCCGCCTGCTCTGGCGTGACCCGCTGCGACCGATGCGTAAGAAGGTGGCGGCGAGGTGGGAAGGCTGTTCGGTGGCGCGGCTGGAGTCTTCTTTGGATGCCTCTTGACCCGGGTGGCTGCTGGTGTTGATTCATGATCGCTATGTACAGCAGCCGTACCAGCCGCATTGCTGCCTCTCGCTTATGTCAAAGCAGAGAGGGAGGAGGTCAAGGCGCGCGTGTCAGTGCAAACTTCCGCTCTCATGCTCTCCGTGCCCCTCGCTTGGCCGGAAGCCGACTTACCGTAGTTGTAGAGACTTGAAGCAACGAACATGTCCGAGAGAGGTGTGAGCGTGTTCTTCTCTACGTGTCGGCTCCAAAACCGAAAGTGACGGGTGGCGTGATCGCGTCGGAGAGAGTACGGCCCGTTGGAGGAGCGGGTGACGCTGTCTAGTGGCTCCAGTGGCGGTAAAGCACCGGTGGATGCCGATGGGGTAAATGAGCGACGACACTAAAACGATGACTGGGATGCCATGAAGAATTGTGCGTAAATGAGAGATCAGCGATGGAAAGGAGTGGCGAGTGGATGACGAACAGCAACGGAAGTGTACGCGTGTAGAGTCTTGAGTTTGGATTGTTGATGTACTGTACGGTACCTATCCAAACCAGGGAGGGATCCGCACCCGCGATTGAGCTTCCTGCGAGGCATGCGCGCGCACAGGCAGATCGAAGGGCATGCTGTGAGGGTATCGGCGCGGGGTGGAAGTCGGGTGCGCGCCACCGTGCATGCATGCATGCATGCAGTGCGTGTATGGAATGCCTATCTTTGGGCGCGCGACTCGTCAACGTTGAAAGCCGGCGCCCGGCAGAGGGGGGACACGCGATTCGTCAACATTAATCACGGGAATTCA